ACTCACACCACTCACACCCCTCACACCACTCACACCCCTCACACCACTCACACCACTCACAACCCTCACACCACTCACGTAATCAAAGTACCACTCACACCCCTCGCACCACTCACACCCCTCACACCACTCACACCCCTCACACCACTCACACCACTCACACCCCTCACACCACTCACGTAATCAAAGTACCACTCACACCCCTCGCACCACTCACACCCCTCCCACCAGTCACACCCCTCACACCACTCACACCCCTCACACCACTCACACCACTCACGTAATCAAAGTACCACACGGTGTGAGTGGAATAGAAGTCCCCGTGTCCCGCGAGGACGTCCCGTATGCTGGGGAACGTCTTGGTACGTCGGGCCTCAGCGATGGCCCGTTCAGCGTCCAGTTGGTACGCGACGTACCCCGTGGGGTTCTCCACCTCCAGTACCACGGCCCCAGACGTGGGGGACTCCTCCGTGTTGACCCATCTGCGGGGGACAAGTGGGTCAGGGATCGTGTTGACCCATCTGCGGGGGACAAGTGGGTCAGGGATATTTGGGGGGTGTTTAGGGTAACCCGTTGTGTGTCTAAGGTAACTTGAGGGGTGTTTAGGGTAAATTGAGAAGAGTTTAGGGTAACTTATGATATCTTTAAATCGTTTTCAGACACGATCAGCTCACACCGTTCAGCATGAAGGCGAACAGCAGAATGAGGAGGGTTAGAAAGTAGCATCTTCGAACGATAGCTCCCGCCTGTCACCGCGGCAGGAGCTGTCGTGCGAACCTGCTGCTGTCTAACATTTCTCACTCTAGCTTTTTTATTCATGCTTGGCAGAGTGGTTTAGCTTTATCCAGTGGCGATTTTAAGATATTCAGTTGTTTTTTCGGTTAAATTTTTTATAGGTAAAAGCATTTTGGAATTGCATTTCAAGACATTCGTTTTTTCGGTTATATATTTTACAGATCAAAGTATTTTGGAATCGTATTATATTTAAGTTTAGGGTGTTTCTAGAGTTACTTGAGGTATGTCTAAGGTAAGTAATTGTGTTTTTAGGGTAACTTCAGGTCTATCTAAGGTAAGCAATTGCGTTTCTAGGGTAACTTTAGATATGTCTAAGGTAAGTAATAGTGTTTCTAGGGTAACTTGAGGTCTGTCTAAGGTAAGTAATAGTGTTTCTAGGGTAACTTGAGGTCTGTCTGAGGTAAGTAATAATTTTTCTACGGCAACTTAGGGCGCGTCTAGGGTAATTATGGCACGCCACTCATTTAAAAATCAGGATACATTTTCACATCGGTGTTAATTTATCAAAGTTAAAACCAACAATAAACAAATACCAACATATAGGCTGGCGGAGCATAAGGGGCAGAAGTTTTATAACTAGAAAATTACTTGCGCATCCTCCTCATTCAGCTGTGCGCGTCCATGCCGAGCAGTGCAATGTTCCGGTGTCTGATAGTGATTTTAGAGTTCTAGCTTACACGACCGGTGTTAATGACCTACGAATATTAGAATCCCTGTATATATTTGAACAGAAACCTGGTTTAAATGCAGCCTGCAGCTCCTATCCCCTTGAAATTGTAAATATGTAAATTCCCCTTGAAATTGTAAATAGACATGCCTATCACCTTTTGTGGATTTGTTTTTATTTTGTCAATTTATGTTTTTATCTTCGATGTGAATTTAGTTTTCTAATTGATTCTGCAGTTCTTATAGGTTTTGAACTTTTGAACTGACGATGGAGCTGGACTCCAAAACGTTTAAATTCTTAAGAAATGGTTAATATTCTGGCTGTTTTCTTTGCTTTTAAATTCCTGATAAACTTGCGATTTAAGCAATCTAGTAATTTTAATACCAACATTCATATATTAGGATACTAACATTTTGAAATTAGGCATCTCATTTACTGATATATTGGGACTTTTCCGAAAAATTTTATCCTTCTAAGGATACTTAAAAAAAGTGGTAGACTTTTTACACTTTTTATATTTTTGAAGTTGAGTCATTAGATTTGTATATAACTTGAGAGCGTTCAACATATATGAGGTTATAAGGGTAATACGGATATACGTGTTAATATAATCATATTAAGGTTCATTATTTTTTCAGTAGCGTGTGACTGTAGCTTGTGAGGGTAGTGTGTGAGGGCAGCGTGTGAGGGTAGCGTGTGAGGGTAGTGTGTGAGGGTAGTGTGTGAGGGTAGCGTGTGAGGGTAGCGTGTGAGGGTAGTGTGTGAGGGTAGTGTGTGAGGGTAGCTTGTGAGGGTAGCGTGTGAGGGTAGTGTGTGAGGGTAGTGTGTGAGGGTAGCGTGTGAGGGTAGCGTGTGAGGGTAGCGTNTACAGCACCGTAAGATACAGTACCATACAATACAGCACAGTAAAATACAATACAATACAGCACCGTAAGATACAGTACCATACAATACAGCACAGTAAAATACAATACAATACAGCACCGTAAGATACAGTACCATACAATACAGCACAGTAAAATACAATACAATACAGCACCGTAAGATACAGTACCATACAATACAGCACAGTAAAATACAATACAATACAGCACCGTAAGATACAGTACCATACAATACAGCACAGTAAAATACAATACAATACAGCACCGTAAGATACAGTACCATACAATACAGCACAGTAAAATACAATACAATACAGCACCGTAAGATACAGTACCATACAATACAGCACAGTAAAATACAATACAATACAGCACCGTAAGATACAGTACCATACAATACAGCACAGTAAAATACAATACAATACAGCACCGTAAGATACAGTACCATACAATACAGCACAGTAAAATACAATACAATACAGCACCGTAAGATACAGTACCATACAATACAGCACAGTAAAATACAATACAATACAGCACCGTAAGATACAGTACCATACAATACAGCACAGTAAAATACAATACAATACAGCACCGTAAGATACAGTACCATACAATACAGCACAGTAAAATACAATACAATACAGCACCGTAAGATACAGTACCATACAATACAGCACAGTAAAATACAATACAATACAGCACCGTAAGATACAGTACCATACAATACAGCACAGTAAAATACAATACAATACAGCACCGTAAGATACAGTACCATACAATACAGCACAGTAAAATACAATACAATACAGCACCGTAAGATACAGTACCATACAATACAGCACAGTAAAATACAATACAATACAGCACCGTAAGATACAGTACCATACAATACAGCACAGTAAAATACAATACAATACAGCACCGTAAGATACAGTACCATACAATACAGCACAGTAAAATACAATACAATACAGCACCGTAAGATACAGTACCATACAATACAGCACAGTAAAATACAATACAATACAGCACCGTAAGATACAGTACCATACAATACAGCACAGTAAAATACAATACAATACAGCACCGTAAGATACAGTACCATACAATACAGCACAGTAAAATACAATACAATACAGCACCGTAAGATACAGTACCATACAATACAGCACAGTAAAATACAATACAATACAGCACCGTAAGATACAGTACCATACAATACAGCACAGTAAAATACAATACAATACAGCACCGTAAGATACAGTACCATACAATACAGCACAGTAAAATACAATACAATACAGCACCGTAAGATACAGTACCATACAATACAGCACAGTAAAATACAATACAATACAGCACCGTAAGATACAGTACCATACAATACAGCACAGTAAAATAAAATACAATACAGCACCGTAAGGTACAGTACCATACAATACAGCACAGTAAAATAAAATACAATACAGCACAGTAAAATAAAATACAATACAGCACCATACAAAACAATACAATACAATGCAATGACATGAAAACAATACATCACAATTCACTATATGATAATCGCCAGAAAAAATCTCCGGTATAGCACAGTATAATAAAATGCCATACAATACATTCTTATAAAATAAAATACCAGACATCATAAAACCACAGAATAACGTTCCATCATACCGTACCATACAATACAAACAAAAAAATATTAAAGTTTATCCTGTCAGATTAAGGTTATTTCTCTAAATGAATATTATTCTTATGTTTTGCTTCATAACTTTTATATTTTTGCGACGCTGACATTTTTATTTCCGGAATTGATCACTAATTAGCGGCGCAAGTCAAAGAATGAAGCAAAAGTTTCTTGAATGTTGTAAAAGAGAAATAAATATAATAAATAATAAAAAGATAGGCTGGCATCATATAGATAATCCTTTCGGTATTGCAGCGTCATCTTTTCTCTGTGGCGGCGCATTAAGAAGAAGAAAATACAGAATAACACACGTTCACACACATACACGACACGCAACAACACAGCACACAGCACAGCACACAGCAGCACAACACAGCACACAGCACAACACACAGCAGCACAGCATAGCACAACACAGCACAGCACAGCACACAGCAGCACAGCATAGCACAACACAGCATAACACAGCACAACACAGCACACAGCACAACAGTACACATCAACAATCAACTATTCCCACTAGAACACAACCGAAAAATCCTAGGCTTAACCTTTGACACCAAGCTCACCTTTACCACCACCACAGAACCACTGTAGCGGGCCAGTTTTGGCCGCGCTATTAGTTTTCTTCAGCCGCTGCACCTCTCTAACGAAGACCACCGAGAAAAGGTATGCGTAGGTAGTTGTCTAGGGAAACAGCAGAATGCTAGTAGGCAGCCTACGTTTGCCTGACTTACCACACTTTGTAATGACTGTAAATATCTGGAATTATTGTCAATATAATGTCTGTATTCCTAAACCTATATGCTTTCAGTGATAGTCCTGTGTCGTGGATGCCGGTTTTCCATGAAATTTAAGTAAACCTTATGGCCTTCGTAAATTTGCTGAACCAGTTTTCATTCACCCTCGTACGTTAGGGCCAGCTTGCAGAGACCCAGTAACTTTGTATATGGAGCGTAGTTATCCCGCTACACCACGGCAGCAAAAGCCTCAAAACGCAACAACATACTGAAAGCACTCTCAGGCACCTCCTTTGGACAAGACAAAGAAAACCTACTACAAACATACAAAACCATCGGCCGCCCAATAATTGAGTACAGTTGCCCAGCCTGGTCTCCTGTCACCTATCCTACCAACATCACCCGCCTCCAAACAGTTCAAAATTCTGCTCTGAGAACCATAACCGGCTGCCACAACACAACTGCCGAACAACATCTTCACTCCGAATGTCAAATGCTCACTGTTCAACAGCATACGGACCTCCTCTCAGCCCAGTACCTTCTGCGGAGCCACCTCCCTCAANTGACTCACAGCCACCCAGACCTGACTCCCTGACTCACAGCCACCCAGACCCTGTCTCTTATACACATCTAGATGTGTATAAGAGACAGGTCGTGCACGACGCGCAGGCCGCCGTTCTGGCTGTGCAGGGCGAGGATGAACGTC